AGATGAATATGCTAACGCCTGGGATATTGAGTTATTAACGTCTCATCATAGTTTGGTACATATCCTGACTTGGAAAAAAAAAGAAGAAAAAAAAGATTCAATGTGGAACTTATAGAACCACTCACACTAAACCTTCTGGATATTTTTATTTCACTAAACCTCAGCTTTACACATTTTAGTCGTGGTATTTGTCCTACCCCAAGTGTCAGCGAGAGCACTGAGAGAAAACCTACAGAACATGTGTTATTTGGTGAAGTTCACAGAAAGTCAATATCCCATTTAGTGTAAAAGCTGTTTTCCCTTTAGATGATAAAAAATCAACCTAAAAAAAAAAAAAAGAAAAAAAAAACCTTTGGGGTGAATGCACAAAAAGTATTTCCATGTCCTAATGAGGACTTTCCTTACATCAGCAAAGACCTACTAATTACTGATGTACAAGCTGCAATAATTGCTTTTGCAGCCAAAGTGTAGAGTGTTGTCATATTAAAAATTGAAGCGCTTGATGGTGATTTTAGTCCCAAGGTGGTTCCCGACGTCCCCCTTTCGGGAAAGCAAGGAGGTTGGAGGAGCTCGGCAAAGGTCCGGTGGATTAAAAAAAAAAAAAAAAAAAAAAAAAGTTGAAACTTTCCCGTTCTTTCTTTGGAGAGATGCAGGATGCGGAGGAGTCAGGAGCGCAGCGAGGAGCCCCCTCCCGGCCCGCGCTGGGTCCCAGCCTCCCATCCAGGTCCCATCCTGCCCATCCCGAGGGCGAAGCTCTCGCTGGTTTCCACGTGCGGCCGCGGCCGGCGCCTCTCTCCTCCGGGCAGGTCAGACGCCCCGCAGAGGGGCTCTCGGCTCCATCCCGCCTACCCCACGCCAAGGATCCCAAGTCCTCGCTCCGAGCCCCGCTCAGCTGCCAAAATCCGCAGCGGAGCCCTCGCCCGCCCAACCCCGCACAAATCAAAGCGCGTTCCGAGGGGCTGGGAAGTAGTTGCCTTGTCATGTAACACATTGCCCTGATTTATTATAAAATTTTAACGAAATCATGCATATTTTAACAGCCTTTAATCACTGCATGAAAATTTAATTCATGAACTGTAGCGCGTTTAAATAAATGAAGTGTTAATTCATTAGGATTAATTAATTTGTTAAAGGATTGTGTGCAAGGTTAAGGTGGAAGAAAAACTCTTTGTTAGTTTCGCGTCTTAATCACCAGGTTTCGTGAACAGTGAAGGGAGCGGGGGGACGCGAAGGCGGTTTCTGTGCCCGGGATGAGCCGGGCCAGGCAGGCGGGAGGCCGCCCAAGCGCAGCACGGACCGGGCCAGCGGGGAGAGAAACCCGAGCACCTTTTGCAGCTCGGGACTTGGCGAGGGGGGCGACTGATCTATTGATTCCCAGCTGGCTCGAGGAGAGGGTTCCCGGTGAGGAGGAGCAGCGAAGTCTTCCTCCCCTCAGCGCTAAAACTTCCCCCGGCCTCATTCGGAGCCCGGGTGGGAGGGGAAAATTAATTCTATTATTTCCAGGCAGCTTGGGATGGTCGGAAAAAGCTTCCCGGAGCCCCCGGCCCCCGCGCGGCCCCAGCGCATCTCGGCTCTGCGGGAGCTGCGGCCGGACACGGCGCTCAGCGAACCGGACACGGCGGGGGAGGAAAGTGACACGGGAAGAGTGAAAGTGACACGGAGGCGGTGAAAGTGACACGGGAAGAGTGAAAGTGACACGGAGGCGGTGAAAGTGACACGGGAAGAGTGAAAGTGACACGGAGGGAGGGAAAGTGACACGGAGGGGGGGAGACCGGCCCGCCTGGCACCCGCCGGGCCCGACGGCGCGGACGGGCCCTGGCCACGTCCCGTTGGTTTCCCTGAGGAAACAGGGGAATGCAGAGACAGCCCGTAGGAGCGTTAGAGAGGGGAGACGGCAATTCCTATGGGGAAAAGCTGAGCGTATTCAAGAATATTAAACTTTATTCTCCTTCTGCCCAGTTTAATCTCCCCGCGCACACACTCTCCCACACCCGCCCGAAGGCTCCTCTCTCCGCCAGCCCCTTTCCTCTCCCTCCTTCAGCTGGGGAAGAGGTTTTCCCAGTGCCGGGTACGTGCCTCGGTCTGATGGAGAAGCGACGCTGCAGCTCTTCAGCCCGCGGCTGCTCGTCCCGGCCGTGGAGGGGAGCACATGGAGAGCCGGGCAGCAGCTCCGGAGGACGGCAAAACGACCGCTCCGTATCCAGCCCCTCAGAGATACTTCCCCCGAACTCGGGAGGAGAAGGGGGACAAGCAGGTGGCACCGCAGGGGCCCGTTCTGTGGCAGGAACAGCAAGGAAGGCCTGGAAATATCGTGGCTGGCAAAACACCGACGTCAACCATGATGTGGAAGAGGTGCGTGGTGACACAGCCTCCTGGGAACACTCCATGGTGCTGCACAAGGAGCAAGGTCAACCCTAGTTGGGTCAAATTGCCTTAAATACCATGATTTGGT